GAATGGTACCTGGGCCCCGTCATGATGGAAGAGGGCGACATGCAAGGATTGGCACTACAGCCTGTTTTGAAGAATGCGGTGCCCAACCCCTGCCTTTCTTTCCAACTCATGACAGAGAAACCGGCCAAATCTCACACCGCGCTGTCACTTATATAACAAGGACACTCTCAGCTGCACCCTGCACAAAGATTTTCCAGCTCGCTGGACCACAATTTGGGTGGCAGCAGTCTGAGAGCGATTGTCATTGGGTTAAGTAATTAACTCTTTAAACTCCAAAATGCCACCAGATAGCTTTGGGCTTATTAACTCTTTACAGTATTAGCAAGACCAAGTATGAAAAATAAACATCTGTGCCACCACAGACAGGTTTGCTCAGAGATTTGTCATATACAGTAGCACTCCTCAAGAAAGAGGGATTCTTTAGTTTGAATTAATAGCCCTAGGGACAGTTTTAACACTTTTCAAAATAGGTTTTAATAATGAAAAGGTGAAAATAGTGCAAATAAAATATGTGTAAAGAAAAGAAAAAAAAAAAAAAAAACCCATTAAGCAGGAAATTTAAAAAGGAGTTGAAAATGAAGAATACTTGCAAAGTCTTTGGTTTTAGCAGTCCAATTGTTCAAGCAAAAACGGTGGAGTGGCTCTCTCAAGTCTGGTTAGGTGTTCCTTGGTTTGTGTTGAATTGAGAGCTGTCAAGAGGGTCCTGACATTTCCTTTTTCTGTCGTATCAAAGGGGTGTTGTCAGAGTCCATCTGACCAATTACCCGGGTTTAAGGGGTTGTGGCTGGAAGGTAAACGCATTTGACTGTATCGTAGCCTTCCCTTACACACAGTTTTATACTAATAATAATATCTTCCACTGTGTACAGGTTGTATTCTGGAAACTGGTGGATTATTGTTCAGCATTATATTTCGTGTCAAGGGATAACAAACAGTATTTTGGATGGGACTGTCATCAAGTAGGGATGTGCTTACTTAGTAATATATGACCTTGATTTGTTCAGTAAGATTTTCCCCATTTAAATACATAATATTAATGTGTCTTGGTCCTTTTGGATTTTATGAATTGCATGTGGATTTTGTTCAATTGTAAATTGGGCAGAGGTCTCAGAGAGGTCGACCACGCGCATGGCTTCTTTCTGTGTAGGTGTTTTATGGCACATTATGTGTTCCTAGTGCATTAATTGCCCTACACATCATGTGTGATAGAACAGATGAATTTTGTCATTGTTTTACGATAAGTCAGACAAAATTGTTAATCTGTAGAATTTTTTTTTATGGTCTGTAAAAAAAAAAAAAAAAAAGCCATCCTGCTAGTACTCATGATTGTGCTGGTGTGTGCTGTCCCTAAGTTGAGATAACAAGCTCTTTTGAAGTGTTAAAAGTTAAGGCTATGAATTGCATAACTTGCAGGAGGAGGGAGGGGGTAAGATCACTGGTCTCATGGAAAAAAAAAAACCTGACGAGATGGCTCTCACCTACACTTCCATGTGCGTAATGCGCACATCCATTACACCTACGTATACAGAATCATGCACAGTAGTAACTGACCAAGGTGTTTCCGGTAGAGTGCTATACAGGTCCAGGGATTGAATATGCCTGTCGTGATGGGTGAAAATTGGTTCTTGACTTCCTAGGTCAGAACCTATGGTTAGATTTAAAAATCCCTAGTAGCCTTGGTCCCAAGAGGTTTTTCACCCCTATTGTGCTGTATACTAGATGGTGTTTTTAAAAGATGGAAGTTGCCTGTCTCTTTTTCAGGTGCATCTAGAGGGCAGTATAGTGCATGTCTGACTCTGCTAGCTGAGCCAGTTTGTGAAGAGGTTTTACTTGCTGGTGTCTGGCTGCAGGAAGTATCTCTAGACATTCTGGCCGCTTTTCCTTGCTGTGATGTGTATGACTGTGTTCAGTCTGCGGGGAATGCGTAGGTGTTGCATGTTTTCGGGACATAGGCACACGCAGCGTATGTGACATCACAGGAGGGCTTTGAGCAGCAATTTCAGCCCAATGTTGTAGCTCATTGGTGTGTGCTACGGCCATCAATAAGGCCTGCAGACAGTATTAGGGCTATAAGATAGCAGGTTAGGCAGTTCCTAATGATTCAGTCCCTAGGAGCAGAAATGGATAATGGCTAAAAGGCCCTCTCACCAGACCCAGTGAAACTGCAACCCTCTAGCTGGATATTCACGCACTCTGGGTTGCCCGGAGCGACTTTGGTCAATAGTGCAGCACATCTGTACCCTGGCAGTGGCTCAGTTCTCTAGTGGTGCTGGGCAGCATGGCTCGCTTTCTCTCTCGTGGTGCTGGGCAGCATGGCTCGCTTTCTCTCTCGTGGTGCTGGGCAGCATGGCTCGCTTTCTCTCTCGTGGTGCTGGGCAGCATGGCTCGCTTTCTCTCTCGTGGTGCTGGGCAGCATGGCTCGCTTTCTCTCTCTGTCATGGTGCTGGGCAGCATGGCTCTTTCTTTTGTTGTGCCAGGCAGCGTGGCCCTCTCTTGGTTTCTCTCGTGGTGCTGGGCAGCGTGGCTCTTTCTCTCTCTCTTATGGTGCTGGGCAGTGTGGCTCTCTTTGGCTTCCTCAGTACAGTCCTCTTTCCTGTCTCCTGTAGCTCCAGGCTCCCCCCTCCTCCCATAGTGCATGTTGGGGCTGTAGTCTGTTCCCTGTGGACAGCAATAGGGCCCCTAATCTTTAGGGACTACATGTCCCATGATACTCCCCTAGTCTCTTCTGATTGGACCTCTGACAGGAGGAAGGGGGGGTGAGTGGGGGGAAGCGTGTCTGTGTGTCTGTCTGTCTGTCTGTCTCTCTCTCTCTCTCTCTCTCTCTCTCTCTCTCTCTCTCTCTCTCTCTCTCTCTCTCTCTGTGCTGGGCAGCGTGGTTCTCTCGTGCTGGGCAGCGTGGATCTCTCTCGTTATGTGGGGCAGCCTGGCTCTCTTGTGCGGGGCAGAATGGCTCTCTCATGGTTCTAGGCAGGGTGACTCTCTCTCTCACGGTGCTGGGCAGCACGGCTCTCTCTCTGGCTTTCCCAGCAAAGTCCTCTTTCTTTTTCCCGTCTCCTGTAGCACTCACCCCCTCAGCTTTTTCCCGGGCTCCAGGCTCTCTCTCCCTGCCCAACAGAGTTCATGTTGGGGCTATATAGTCTGCTCCCTGTGGATAACAATAGGGCCCCTAATCTTTAGGGACTACATGTCCCATGATGCTCCCCTAGTCTCTTCTGATTGGATCTCTGCTGTGGCCAATGGAAACAGAGCAGGTGGTGAAGCTGATGTGAGCCGCTCTCTCTTAGCCCGCTCTGACAGGAGGAAGGGGGGTGAGTGGGGGAAACACTTGATGGCTCGCCTTTCCCCTGTCACAGCACTGCACCTGAGTTCTCTGGCAGACTGAGTGGTGGGGGTGGGGGAAGAACCCGCTGTCACCGCTACAATGGCGGAAGGGGGTGCTCCACAGCGCAACTGCTTCATACTTGATGGTGTCACCCCTCTGGCTGGTGTCACCTAGGTGTGGGCTGCACCCTTATAGCTACACCACTGGATTTTCTACCGTAATACCTAGTTAAGCACAAAAATTGACCTGGATTAATTAATGCTGAATCAGATTGTGTGCCATCTGACAGGAAGCTGCCCTGCTGAAACGCAGCTCATTATACACAATTTTACTATGCAATCACTTTTCTTCTGCAGGAAATCAGACAGTCAGTGGATCAGTCTGTTTTTCTAGTTGTGCTGGGCAGCGTGTGTCTCTCTGGTGGTGCTGGGCAGCCCGTGTGTCTCTCTGGTGGTGCTGGGCAGCCCGTGTGTCTCTCTCTGGTGGTGCTGGGCAGCCCGTGTGTCTCTCTCTGGTGGTGCTGGGCAGCCCGTGTGTCTCTCTCTGGTGGTGCTGGGCAGCCCGTGTGTCTCTCTCTGGTGGTGCTGGGCAGCCCGTGTGTCTCTCTCTGGTGGTGCTGGGCAGCCCGTGTGTGTCTCTCTCTGGTGGTGCTGGGCAGCCCGTGTGTGTCTCTCTCTGGTGGTGCTGGGCAGCCCGTGCGTCTCTCTCTGGTGGTGCTGGGCAGCCCGTGTGTCTCTCTCTGGTGGTTCTAGGGGCTCTAGGCTCTCTCTTCCCGCCCAACAGAGTTCATGTTGGGGCTGTAGTCCTCTTTCCTGTCTCCTGTAGCTCCAGGCTCCCCCCTCCTCCCATAGTGCATGTTGGGGCTGTAGTCTGCTCCTTGTGGACAACATTAGGGCCCTAATCTTTAGGCACTACATGTCCCATGATGCTTCCCTAGTCTCTTTTGATTGGAGCTCTGTTGTGGCCAATGGGGAAGGAAACCGAGCAGGCAGTGAAGCTGATGAGGGCCACTCTCTCTTCTCAAGCTCTGACAGGCGGAAAGGGGGGGGGGTGAGTGGGGAAAACACGCTTGACGGCTCACCTTTTCCCTGTCCCAGCCTAAGTCACTTCTTCACTGGCGGAAGGGAGGGCTCCACAGCAAAATTGCTTTATACTTTATGGTGTCAACCCTCTGGTGGGTGTCACCCATGTGTGGGCTGCACTCCCATAGCAACGCCACTGGATTTCCTACCATAATACCTAGGTAAGCACAAAAATTCACCTGGATTCTGGCTGAATCAGAATGTGTTCTATATGACAGGATGCTGCTCTGCTGAAACAGAGCTCATTATACACAATTTTATTATACACACACAACCACTTTTTTTTTTTTTTCTGCAGGAAATCGGGTCCAGGATATTTCACTTCACTGCCCTGTCAACGTTAGGAAATCAAGCTCTAAAATGTATTCCATATTATATATGAAAAGGAAGTGTAAAATGAAATCCTAGCCTCCTAAATTGCCCTTTCCTTTTAAATGCGTAGTTTACACCAAAGTGAAGCTGAATTTTGTATGTTTGTATACAAGGGGAAACAATAAATATTTGAGAAATTTTAAGGTTGCATTTTATACCAACTTAATGATAAAAATATTGCTTACTATTTCTGTCAAATTAATGTGTGGTCACTTTGTTATCAGCTCCTGAGGATTGGACAGTGGAGTGTGAAATCAGGTCTGAGGTAAGGACTTAATTTCTAAAAGAATTTTAAGCTTTAGAAATGTTAATGGACTTCATCCTTTGTTAGTTGTTGTATATGTTAAGTTAGCTCAGTTAGGAAGAGATTCATTCTTCATATTCAGTCAGATAAAGTCCCAATCTGTTGGTTAGATTTTGGCATGAAACTTCCAGTGCCAAAAACAAATATTCAATTATGTTCCCAAGCATGTATGACCTCTAATCTTTCATAGTTAAATTGACCATAATACCTAACTGGGTCGCACTTTCGACCAGGACCTGGTGTTCCTCTACTGTAGGGGGGGGAGGGCGGGCAATCAGTGTTTCCAGTAAAAGAAGGCACTTTTCTGCTGTCTGTAAACAGCAGAAAAGTGCCTGTTGAAAATACACTTGTCCCTGAGCTTTCTTTCCCCTCACTCCCCCTCCTTCCGCACTCTAGCAGACTAGTGGACCGTCTCCAATCCCCCACCCAAGCCAAACTTGGCAAATTATATTAATCGAGCCTCTGGTCAAATGCGCAAGGAGAGGACGCAGGGGAGAGGAGGACCAAAGCATGCATGCAGTTACTGGAGGTCAGTGTGTGACAGCTCTAGGCCACACAGGATCTGTAGGGCAGGCAGTCAGTTAGTCACTCTATGAGGGATGTAAGGAGTGAGTGGAGACAATAAGGTAAGGGGGGAAACTGATACAAATGTCCATTACTAGTAACAAAATGTGTGGGGCTGACTAGAGAACAGTGGAGGTCAACCCCTATTTGACTTGACAGCCATGTATCGGTGGGTCACCATCCCAAATGAAGAACAAAAAAAGAAAACATTGGATGTTCTAGGGTGAACCACTGGTAATTAACTCCTTCCCACCGGTCGTGTGCATATATGCGGCCTCACGGCTGGTGGGCCTTACCGCCGAGAGGCCGTATACATATATGTGTACCTAGAGATAAAAATGTACTGAGAGCGTGCACCGTTCGTGTTACCAACGGTTAATGGAAAGCTCCCAATAATATCTACTTGCGGTCAGGAGCTTTCCAATTGTAACCACTGTGACAGCCAATCACGACGGTCACTTGATCAGGAACCTCATCCCGCTTCCCAGCATCTGAAACCTCTTAAAGAGCCTGGAGGGGTTAAGTTATACACAGTCAATCAATTTAATAAAAAAATGTGTATATATACAATTTTATGACAAAATGTAAAAACAGAAGTACATAGAATCAAATATTTAGTACAAAGATACAAATGTAAAGAAGAAAAGGATTAAAAGCCAACTGCTCCTTTAGGACTTTATATTTGTAAATGACCGATATCCAACATGAATCGTCTTTGATCTAAAATTGAAAGGATAAATAAGTACATTGCATAGGTGTATATCCACAATATTAAACCACATATAAAACACAACACTTAACTTCGAGAGAAAAACTATCCCCTAGGGATGTCACAACATATGTGACAGATAAATCACTTACATAAAAGAACATGAATAGCAAGAGCTGTCATATCTTTCCAGGATGTGGGGAGGCATATAAGGAACCTTCAATGGGAGAAGAGGCAGGCCAGTCCACACGGTCGTTGCCCGTCTAGGGTGATGAAAAGCCAGAGCACTTATAAATAAATAGGCCACATAATAAATCATAGTGCCAGATATCAGTATTCAGGCATATAACAAATAAACACTGAGACATTAATGGCATATAGTGCTTTCTAGATAACTCACCCCAGATATGCTACAGTTGCAAGAAAAAGTATGTGAACCCCTTGGGATTACGTGGAGTTTTGCATGAATTGGGCATAAAATGTGCTCTGAACGTCATCTAAGTCACAACAATAGAAGAACACAGTCTGCTGAACATAATATTACACAAACATTAAATGTTGCCATGGTTTAATTGCACGTAACATGTAAACATTCACAGTGCAGGGAGGAAAAAGTATGTGAGGCCCTAGCTTAATGACTTCTCCCAGAGCTTATTGGAGCCAGGAGTGAGCCAACCTTGACTCCAATCAGTGTGATGATATTGGATGTGTTGCTGACAGCTGTCCTGCCCTTAAAAAACACACACCTGTTTTGGGTTTACTGGTTTCAAGAAGCACTGTCTGATGTGAACCATGCCTCGCAGAAAAGAGCTCTCAGAAGACCTACGATCAAGAATTGTTGACTTGCATGAAGCTGGAAAGGATTACAAAAGTATCTCCAAAAGCCTTGATGTTCATGTGTCCACGGTAAGACAGACTGTCTACAAATGGAGAAAGTTTAGCACTGTTGCTACTCTCCGTAGGCGTGGTCGTCCTGTAAAAATGACTGCAAGAGCACAGCGCAGAATGCTGCATGAGGTAAAGAAGAATCCCAGAGTGTCAGCTAAAGACCTACAGAAATCTCTGGCACATGCTAACATTATTGTTGACACATCTACAATAATGAAAACATGAAACAAGAATGGAGTACATGGGAGGACACCACGGAGGAAGCTATTGCTGTCCAAAAAGAATATTGCAGCACGTTTGAAGTTTGCAAAAGAGCACCTGGATGTTCCACAGCACTACTGGCAAAATATACTGTGGACAGATGAAACCAAGATTGAGTTGTTTGGGAAGAACACACAGCACTATGTGTGGAGAAAAAAAGGCACAGCACACCAACATCAAAACCTCATCCCCACTGTAAAACATGGCGGAGGGAGCATCATGGTTTGGGGCTGCTTTGCTGCCTCAGGGCCTGGACGGTTTGTTGTCATTGATGGGAAAATGAATTTCAGAGTTTATCAAGACATTTTGCAGGAAAACGTACGACCATCTGTCCGCCAACTGAAGCTCCGCAGAGAATGGGTGATAAAACAGGACAATGACCCAAAGCATACAAGTAATTCAACAAAACAATGGCTGCAGCAGCACAGAATACGCCTTCTGGAGTGGCCCAGTCAGAGTCCTGACCTCAACCCGATTGAAATGCTGTGGCATGACCTTAAGAGAGCGATTCACACCAGACATCCCAAGAATATTGCTACACTGAAACAGTTTTGTGAAGAGGAGTGGTCCAAAATTACTCCAGATCGTTGTGCAGGTCTGATCTGCAACTACAGGAAACGTTTGGTTGAGGTTATTGCTGCCAAAGGAGGGTCAACCAGTTACGTCCAAAGGTTCACATACTTTTTCCTCCCTGCACTGTGAATGTTTACATGTTATGTGCAATTAAACCATGGCAACATCCAATGTTTGTGTAGTATTATGTTCAGCAGACTGTGTTCTTCTATTGTTGTGACTTAGATGACGTTCAGAGCACATTTTATGCCCAGTTCATGCAAAACTCCACGTAATCCCAAGGGGTTCACATACTTTTTCTTGCAACTGTATGTCACTGAGGAGAGCACGACCATAGATGTAAATTAAATGGACCCAGCTGTATTGTCTGCTATTTACAAAAGGCAACCACTGAATTCACCAGGATCGAAGCTTAAGTCAATCCATTCACTACATAAACTGGTAAGAGTAGTCTAAATTGATATTATCCAACAGCAATCCAAGTAATCCAAGAAACACAAAGCCCTCATTATTCTCAGGCCAAATTAGACTTAAAAAGGACAGAAGTACCCTATAATTAAAGACCTACTGATACACAGTCAATATCATTTCAGCATCATAGATCCCAGTTGTTGTACACATTGCTATGGGTAATAAGAGCCTAACTAAAACTACCCACTAAATAGTCTAGACAACCCATAACCGTGCTTCCTCCAATGCAACATTGGGGTCTGCCCAAAGGGTTGGGGAGGTCCTCTACCCATTGGTGGAAAACAAAAAAGAACTGCCCTCTCCGTCCAAGATAGGACAGTGTCCTCCATAAAATGGAAACGCTGTGGCCCCCATGTGCCCAGATGCTGGACCACTAAGTACAGCGTGGGCCATGCTAGAAGTATTGTCAAGGCACGCTTTAGCGGCCCATAAATGCGGTCCACACTGGGACGCAAACACAGCAAGACAAGGGAAGCCAGATCCAAAAAAGAAGTGAACAGTGCAGGACTACAACCAATGGGGACAGCTGATGCGAGATACCCTTCCTATAATACAGAAGACGTTCTAGAACAGACAATAAAAAAATAAACATACACCTATACAGAAAAACCCCCAAAAAAACATGAATCAGGGATAGCATAGAACAAAGCAAAACAGGAGAAAACAAAGGGAAAAAGAAAAGTTTAAATAAAAATGTCTGTATAAGGGGAAAACTGTTGGAATCATTGAAGCTAGGTGAACAAGTTGCACACAACTTATGAATCCACCTGGCCTGAACTTGTAGTTTATGTTGGTCAAATTCACCCCCACGTACATGGGGGGTATATCCTGGCCAGTGCACGAAACTGTAGTGAGTCCAATTTGTATGCATGTTTGTCAGCAGTGTCTCCCAGTCGGGCTCTCCAAATTGCAACCCTTAATGTCAGCCACATGATCCTTTAAAACGCTGCCAAAACATCCTATGGGTTTTACCCATATACAGTGGGGCAAAAAAGTATTTAGTCAGCCACCAATTGTGCAAGTTCTCCCACTTAAAAAGATGAGCGAGGCCTGTAATTGGCATCATAGGTAGACCTCAACTATGAGAGACAAAATGAGAAGAAAAATACAGACAATCACATTGGCTGATTTGGAAAGAATTTATTTGCAAATTATGGTGGAAAAGAAGTATTTGGTCAATATCAAACGTTCATCTCAATACTTTGTTATATATCCTTTGTTGTCAATGACAGAGGTCAAACCTTTCCTGTAAGTCTTCACAAGGTTGGCACACACTGTTGCTGGTATGTTGGCCCATTCCTCCATGCAGATCTCCTCTAGACCAGTGATGTTTTGGGGCTGTCGCTGGGCAACGCGGACTTTCAACTCCCTCCAAAGGTTTTCTATGGGGTTGAGATCTGGAGACTGGCTAGGCCACTCCAGGACCTTGAAATGCTTCTTACGAAGCCACTCCTTCGTTGCCCAGGTGGTATGTTTGGGATCATTGTCATGTTGG